AAGAAAAAAATGAGCACAAACTGTCAAAAATACTTAATCATGGTATTAAATCACGTGCATTGCACGTGTATAAAAACTAGTATATGTAAATGCACGTAGCACTAGAAGTTAGAAAGGTGGAATAATAATTATTTATAATTAAAAATAATTTCTATGAAAATTATTTTTTAATTTGTAAGCCAAATGTCCGAAAATGTTGCCGAGGTGGTGTGCTAAAATATAACTATCACATGAAAATTTATTTCTCTAAGAAAAAATATTATTTCTATAAAACTTATTTTTCTAAAAAATAAATTATTTAGTCATTTTAAAAATATTTTAATATTTTTAAAATTCTGTGTTTTGGTAAGGACATTATTAGAAAACTAAATTTCATTCTCAATTGTGAATAAATCATACCAAACGTGAGAATGAGAATAAAATTATCATTTCATTCTCTAAACATTTCTAAACATGAGAATGAGAATTTAGCATTACATTCTCACATCTATTCCATTCCATTTCCAACTTATTTCTATTCTCACTTGACTCCATCCCCGCGTACCAATTTTAGTGCATTATTTGAGCAAAAACTCTCACGATATCGAATCTAAATACTCCAAGTTTAAAACATCAGAACAAATTTATTTCTCACAAACATAACAAGTCATATTGATCCTCAGATTGTGTTTGCCACGTCAATAACAAACCGATATCTAATATCTCCTTTATCAAGCCTCTCCATAGCTTTGTTCACATAATCTATTCCAATCACCTCCACGTCAGCAGTTATATTGTGCATGGCAGCAAAATCTATCATCTCCTGTGTCTCCTTGATTCCACCAATACAGCTTCCAGCTAAAATTTTCCCACCTGTGACATAAGGAATCAACGCATAATATTACTTAATTATCATCAAAACAATGGGAAATGAATGATGAGGTGTTGGATCTTAACCTTGAATTATGGAGAAAGCTGGTAATTCTAGTGGCTTGCTTGCACCACCAAGCAGAATTAATTTCCCGCGCACTTTTAGCAAAGAAAATAATGGTGGGAGCTGATGAATAGCGGACGTTGTATCGAGTATGCCGTCCATGGTGCTAGTAAATGCCTGCAACCATAAACAAAATTTAAATATCACTATTATTTCCTTAGTAACTCGGGTATAGTTAATTAAAAGTACTGAAATTAAGAATGATATTTAACCATGTGTGTATTTACACACGCACGTGTATATATGTACATATGTATATGCATACGCATATGTATATACACACACGTGCG